TGGGCTGCTTTCTTCCGAGCCTGGCGCCGGTCACGGTGGAGGATGGTGGGGAGGGCGTTGTTGTGCCGGGCAGGGTTTTGCAGGGATGAGTCGTGCCTGCTGTTTTGGTGACATGGTTGGTTGTTGGTTGTGGTCGTTGTTTTATGTTTTTGCTGTTTTTGCTGCTGCCGTTTTGTTGTTGTTGTTGTTGTTGTTCTTGTCGTTGTCGTTGTCGTTGTCGTTGTTAGTTACTTTTGTTACTCATAGGGTTTAGGGTTTTTTAGGGGTTTCAAAGTTTAGGGGTAGGCAGAAAGGATTCCACAGTAACTAGACCCGCAGCCCTAAACTCCGAAACGCCGAAACTTTGAAACCCTGGAACCCCCACCCCCCAGATCTAAGTAAATTGATAGTGTGAGCCCCCCGCGAGGATTTAAGTAAGTTGACAGTTTTACCCCCCGCGAGGGTTTAAATAAATTGACAGTGTTACCCCCCACGAGGGTTTAGGCAAATTGACACTGTGAGCCACCGCGAGGGTTGAAGTAAATTGACAATGTTACCTCCCGCGAGGGTTTTAAGTGAATTGACAGTGTGAGCCCCGACGAGGGTTTAAGTAAATTGACAGTGTGAGCCCCCGCGAGGGTTTAAGTAAATTGCCAGGCGAGCCCCCCGCGAGGGTTTAAGTAAATTGTCAGTGTGAGCCCCCGTGCGGGTTTAAGTAAGTTGACAGGGTTTAGTCTAGTGTTTAGGGTTTAGGGTGGTTTAGGGGTTTGGGGTTTTGATTTTGGGTTTTGGGTTGAGATTCAGGGTTTAGGGTTGTACTTGCCTTGTCCAGGATTTGCGGTTAACCGTGACATTCAGGCTTAAGAGTTGACAGTGGTGGCATGGCTTGGGGAGGGAGTGAAGCGATTTATGTTAAGTGCCTTCCGACGCCTTCCGATTTGATTGGAGGTTTTCACAGAGTGACAGAGTGCTGTTTTCGTTCGATATTCTCGACTGTGTAGCGAAGACTTGTCAGGTTAAGGGCTGAGGATCTGGGGTTGGAGAAGGATCAGCTCCAGAAATCCACACGGCCTTCGTGAGCTGGCTCTGTCAGGGTAGTCCCACGTTTCCGTGCCTTCAACATCAAAGGATCATCCAGCGTAGCAGGGCGTTCCCTGAAATCTTGCTCGTTGAATGTATGTAACTGGCGAATTGGGATGCCGAAATTAGGGGTCACAGGAGGTTCGTTTAAGGTTTTGTGTAAGGGTTAGTTTAGAGCCTATAGGGCGCCAGGGTTTGATTTTAGGTTGAAGTTCAACGCAACCAATGCACAATGCCTGCCAAAAAAATGTGAGGGGACCAAACCAGGACTTAGAATTAAAAGTACTACAAGTGCCAACAGATTACTCCGCGGACCTCCACGATGCCCATAACATCTAGAGAGGGTTTGGGGTTACAGGTAGAGCCTGTGGAGCTAGTGTTGTGGTTGGGTTTGAGGGTTTTCGGATCTAGGGCTTATAGGGCCTATTATATAGGGTTTGTTAGGCTTCGGGGTGGAGGGTTTAAGAGTTCAGGGTTC